ACGCTGCAGGTGTGGCGTCCCGGCGTCCCTCCTTCCTCTCCCGACGGCGGTCCCGAGAGCTCCCGTTGGTCGGTGGCGTCGCCTGGCCCGGCACCGTCAGGCTCCGTCGCAGACTCCCAGTGGGGCCCAGAGCAGCTCGGGTGCTTACTCGGTCAGCGTTCCTCGGTCACTTGCCTCGTCCTGTTTCTTCACTGACTGTTCTTGCCTGGGTTTCCGTTTTTGCTTACTGACCCCTGAGCTTGTTTTTCAGGTCTGAGTGATCCCGCGAGGCGGGTTTGAGCGCTGTGAGTGTCACGGGCCGGGGTCTGTGACTCCCCCTTTCAGCGCACGTAGGGGTCTTGTTTGTGTACCTGCTGACTGTTCCTTTCCAGTCTGTACTCTGGGTAACGTTTACAAACCCTTCTCACCCAGGTGGCAGTCTGGTCTCCTGTGTGTTCTTCTGACGCTTTTGACATTTTTCTCCCTGCGCTGGCTTCTTAGTCCTCCCGCAAGCTGCTTTCACGTGCAGCTAATGAGGGTCAGGAGCTGTGGGTGGTGGACGGGGAGCCGGCTCTGGGTTTGAATCCTGGCGCTTCGGCGTAGAGCCAGCAGGGTGGCCCGGGGCAGGCCCACAGGTCTCCACCTCCGCCCCGGGCAGGGCTGCACCTGTGTGACTCTGCATGACACCTGTGCGCCCCACTGGAAATCGGGACCTGGACCTGTATTTTGGGACCGAGAGGGCAGCTGGCACTCACTCCAGCCCACGGTCGCTGGACATGGTAACAGTTGCCAAAAATCCAGGCCATATAAAAGTCCGACTTCTCTTTGTGTGGGCCACTCTGCAGACCCTGCAGACAGCCTCTGTCCATGAGCCGGTGAGTCCCCGGCCACCAGAGCGCCGTCTGGCGGAGAGCACGTCCGCTTCCGCCCCGCCCGCCTGCTGTTGGTCCCAGCTTCGTGTTCCACCTGTCATCTGCAGCTCATTTTGCCTGTAGCGTGAGGTGCCCAACAATTTCATTTGCCTCCAGATGGAGAGTTATTATAATTCATTGACAAGTCCGTCCTTTCTCACTGATCTGAAATGCCACCTCTGACATCTGAGTCTCCCTGTGGGTGTGGGTCAACTTCTGGCTTTTCCCAGAATGGTCTGTTCCATTGGCCTTTCTAAAAAAAAATTATTAATTTTATTTTTACATGTTTTGGGGGGCTAGTTTTATTTATTTTGTTAATGGGTGCGCTGGGGATTGAACTCAGGACCTCATGCGTGCTAAGCACGCGTTTTACCACTGAGCTACACCCTCCCCCCTTTCCATTGGTCTTTCTGTCAGGGAACCATAGCTCATGGTTTTAATTACTCCGATTTATGTGTCTCTTCCTCTCCTTTTCGCTCTTGATCTGAGCGGGGCGCTGAGCTGGGCGCCTTCAGTAACTGCTCACCGACTCCTCCCAACACCTGGGAGGCAGGGGCTGTGTCCCCCATGCGGCCCGAGAGGGAATCGGGGCTCAGAAAGGTTAAGGCGCTTTCCCTTCAGGAGAGAGAGACCCGGTTCTGGAACTTTGGTGGCTCAGCTCCCACGCCCAGCACCGAGGGGAAGAGCTGCCGTGGAGGAGACTCTGATACCCCGTCGTGCTGGTGTCATCACAGCACATTCTTGGGTGGTAGAGCCGGGGATCAGGACACCCCTTAATTTCTTCCTGCATGTCCCGACAATGGGTCTGCTCTCCACGTTTGGACGCCTCTTTGGTTGCAGGGATGGGGTGGGAGCGCAGAGAACAAACTCTGCCTCCAGGGGGCGCCAGGAACCTTCCCGCATCCCTGCAGCACACGGGGCAGGTACGCGGCTGGGACGGCAGCTCCTCCTGGTGCTCATTCCTTCCTTTGACTTCACAGTGAGACAGAAGGAACTGGACTGGAGAAAGAAGAGCCAGAAGAGGAGGAAGAAATCTCGAGCAGAGGAGGAAAGTGACTCCAGGCTGGCAGGCCAGGGGAAGCAGGGCACCTTCTCCGTCCAGCTGGCGATAATGCCGCTCCTCGCAGGTAGCCACACCTGTTCCCTGCAGTTTCTGGTTGCTTTGTCACGTGTGGCTAGAAGGTCCAGAGATGGACTGCTCACGGTCACCGAGTCCCTGCTCCATGCCACCTCAGCAGAGTGTGGGGGTGACTGTCACCATCAGGAGGCACAGAGAGGTCAGTTGCACTGTCCAAGATCACACAGCGAGTAAGTGAAGCCAGGATTTGAACCCAGGTCTGATTCCAAAGTCTAGGCAAGCCTGTGAGAATAATAAATATCAAGTTTGTTTTTAGGGTAAGAGGCTACTTGGTATAAACACGTTTCCTGCAGATTTTTACAGGAACATCTAGTAAAGGGAATGAGGACGGGGAGCCAGTATTTACGTCCCATTGTTTACTTCTGTGACAAACTGATCCTCCCAGTGAACTGGTGGTGGTGGCATTGGGGTTGATTATCGTTGTCACTACTTTTCCAGTGAGGAATCAAAACTCAGAGAAGTCAAGCAACTTACCTGAGGGCACACAGCTCAGTGCAGAACAGGGGTTTGCTTCTGCTTTGTAAGATCGATCACCATTTACAAAGTTAGTTTGAGAAATAATAAATAGGTATTTATTAGGTCCATATGTTTGGATAATGGAAGGCTCAGAATATCTTTTGGGTAAAATTATGTGACTTTGTTTTAAAAAGGTAACGTGTGGGACCCTCTTTCTTTTAGAGAAAGTAACCGCAAGCTTACCTCGCTGTGGGGTTTGGGCCGTGGGGCGAACGCGCGCCCCCTCCTGGCCGGTCTGCGGAAACGTGGGCGGACGCCGAGGGTGAAGCCCCGCGGGGGCGGGGAGGTCGCAGTCCTCTCAAGCTCTCGGGTTGCCTTCCGTGCGTTTTGATGAAACACTAACTCGCGCGCCTTTAAATGGATCTTGGAAAGCCAGTCCCTCCCGAGGAGCGTTTTCGGAGACTCGCATGCACTCTCCAGCCGGTGCTGCAGCTTGGGCGGACGCTCCCTTGGTCTGCAGCCGTCGGTGGGCCCCGGGTGACCTGCTCCTCACCTCTGCCGGCAGGGCCTGGAGACGCCTGCGTGGTCTCGGCCCGGCAGGGAGAAGCTGAGAGGTGCCGGGCCCCCCTCCCTTGGGCCCGCCGTCACGGCCCGGCCCGTAAGGTGGCCGTTGCTGCAGGAGCTCCCCCCGCTCAGGCTTTGGGTCCCGGCTCAGCCGCTAGTCAGCAGACCGCCTGCTTTCTCCGAGTGTGTTTCCTCGTCTGTAAGCCGGGCCGTTCCCACCCCGGCCGGCTGCAGCAAGGCCCCGGGAGAGGCTGTGTGTGAACTGCGCTGCGGGGTCCCTGCACGCAGCAGGACTGGGGAGGGGGCGCTGCTGGTGGGGAGGTGGCAGCTGCTTCGCCAGGACGTCTGGGTGGGCGGGAGGCAGGGCCCGGGCTTGGCAGTGGCAGCGCAGTCACCTCCCCGCGGCACCGATGCCGCAGGGCGCGGTGATGGACCGCGAGTGGCTGTGACTCAGCGGTCTGTTGTGCATTTTTTTTGCCGTGAAATAAAATAGCGTGAGCTAATTCCCAGACTAGCATGCTCATTTCCGGTAGGGCCTTCGATGTCGGACTGGGCCGTAGACTTCTGCTTACCTCAGTGGTGCCTGCTGGTGGCCAGGAAGCTAGTGAGCGTCCAGAAAGGTTCCGTGTTTGGAGTGAACTCTTTGTTTTTTTTCTATTAATGTCATTTTTATCTTATTTTTTATTGAAGTGGAGTTGATTTACATTGTTAGTTTCAGAGGTACAGCAGAGTGCTTCAGTTACACACGTACATGCACGTATATATATGTGTATTTTCAGTCTTTCCTGTTATACTTATTACAAGAAGTTGAGTATGTGAACGCTTCTGTTGACTGCGCAGCGAAGGGGCCACACGCAGCCGAGCAGGCCCGGTTTGGACACTGGTTCTGCTGCTATTGGCCGAGAGATCTTGGGCGACCACTTTTAACATCCCCAAGCCTGGCCGCTGCAGGTGCACAAGCCTCACGGGGTCCGCCCCCCTCACCTCTTTCCTTACATGGAACCGTGGTTCTCACTGTGGGCACATGTGCGCCTCCGGGGGCCACTCGGCACCGTATGGGGACATTTCTGGTGGTCACAACGGGGAGCAAGATGCTGCTAAATGTCCCGTGATGCACAGGACGGTCCCCATGACAAAGAATTGTGCCCCCAAATGTCAGTAGCACTGAGGTTGAGACGCCAGCCCTGGATGGCGGCTGGCACCACCCGAAATTTCTGAATGATGATTTGAATAGACGTTTGCACCAGAGGCGTCTTCTGAACCGGGCAGGCTGAGACGAAAAGGCTTACAAAGGCCTCGAATGCAAGTCAGAATTGGCTGTGGCCTTAGCCAGTTTACAAGGAGAGGCGCAAGGGAACGGCCGGGGCCCCCAGGAGACGCTCCCAGCCCGCGCGGACGGTGCGCACACCAGCGGGACTCGTTTGGGAGGCGACCGCTCTTTCTGAGCGTGAGTGGGGGCCGTCGTGTGCCCTGAGACCACATTTACCAGCCTCAGATTGTCCTCTTGGAGCACATGCCCCGTGCTGGCAGGGCTCCCGGCCCCACACAAGCCCTCTGGGTCCTCTTCACCCTGAGAAATGCGGGGTCTCTGCCCTCTTTGTTCCGAGGAAATTGAGCCTCAGAGAGCGGCTAACTTGCAGGTCACATGATGACGAACAGTCACATCTGGGATTTGAAACTAATTGCTTTTTTTTTGCCCTCACCAGTATGTCTCCACCTGGTGACACCTGGTGAAGGGTGTGACCCCTTCGATGAGAAGTGTCCCCTCACCTGCCAGTGTGCCCTGCAGTGGCTCGATTCACCCCTCTTCCCGTGGTCACCCTGTTGCAAAACCATCATAGCATGGGGTGCACCACGCTGGCCTTGGCTCAAACCTACCACCCAGGTTCTGTGTCAACATCCACCCTTTCCTCCCTGAACCACGATAGTCCAGGTGCCCACAGTGGGCACCAAACATAGACACTGGCGTCCCCTGTCCTGGAACGTGGTCACCGCTGGGAGCAGCCCTCCGGGAGAGCTTTCTGCAGAGAAGGGCTGGCCCCGGCACGCCCACAGCGGCACGTGGCTACTGAGCGCCTGAAACGTGGCTCAGGGGACGAAGGAAGTGCGTTTTAAATGGTTCTTAGCTCCAATTAACTTAAACACAAGTAGCCACATACGGCTGCCAGCTACCGCACGACACAGGTCTAGGGTGGAGGTTCTAGAGGCTAGAATCACACGGGGAGATTTTAAAAATCCCTGAGGGGAGGCTGCAGCCCAGACTGCTTAGGGGTGGGACCTGGGCGTCAGCCGTCCTGTAGGTGGCTCAGGAAGTGCTCACGTCACAAGGGTAAACCACAGAAGTGAAGTTCCCTTAGGGCCCAGGGGTCCCCCGTTTGAGAAGCTGGTGTAGACGAGCTGCCTGTCGGCATTTGCCGATTATTACTTAAGTCTTCCTCCTGGAGGTATAATTTTATCTTTGGCTCCCAGGTGCCTGAACCCTCTGTGCTCATGTTGAGCTGGCATGAGTGACCGTCTGACGCTGTGTGTATCTCCCCCTAGGATGGCAAACCGTCGTGACTCGTGGCCGTGGAAGGTCTGCCAACATCTTAGATTGTTTTTTGACTTTGGAAACGGAAGTTCCTATCATGACTGAAGAGCAGAAGCGGGACTTAAACCCCCTGGCCATCAGGATCAAGTGTGTCTCCTGCCTCCCGACACAGCCCGTGTGCACCTCTGAGCTAGAGGTGAGCGCGGCCCGGTCGCTGCCCTGGGAGCTGCCCCCACAGCCACATGCCCAGCGCGTTTCAGACTTTCTCATTATTGTGTCTGTTACCGTGGTCTGTGCCCAGTGATCTTTGCTGCTACTGCTGTAAATGTTCTGGGGCGCCATGAACTGTGCCCCATGACAGCGAACTTGATCCATGTGTGTGTCTGACCGCTCCACCGACTGGCCGTCCCCCCCACTCCCCAGGCCTCCCTCCCCCAGGACACGGCAGGGGAATTAGGTCAGTTAATAACCCTGTAGTGGCCTCTCAGCGCTCAAGTGAAAGGGTGGGTTACACGTCTCTCACTTTAAATCAAAAGCTAGATGATTTTTTTTTAAAGCTAGAAATGATTAATTTTAGTGAGGGAGGCATGTTAAAAGCCGAGGTCGGCCGACAGCTAGGAAGCCGCCTCCAGAACCTCAGAGTGCCAGGGCGGCAGCAGGTGCTGGGCAGCCCGAGTGGCCAGTCACCAAGAAGCTCTTGTTAAGACGCTTACTGAAGGTGCCACGTTACACCACAGGCTTTCCATGTGGACGACGCAGCCTCCTGCTGCAAGGAGGTGCC